ACTAAATACAAAATTTCCTTATTAAGTTCTAATTTTCAAACTAATTTCTCCCAAGATTAAAAACCTATTCTATAACATTTCTCTCCCCTTTTAAGAACGAACTCCGTGAGTTCTAACTTGGAGAAGGGCTTGAGAAAGTTCGGCATCAGTTAACCTCGTAATCATTGCATAAGTAATATAGGTTGTTCGAGAGATATTTTCTAGAGATCGATTAGAGAAAAGCAATTTCATCCGTCTGGCGCACTTCCATGTGTCTCGGGCTCTTCTTTCTCCTTGAGTCTTCTCAATTATTGTTTGAATATCTTCATGAGCATCAGGGTACTTTCTATAAGGTTACCAAGATAATAATAAGCTTCGAGCAGCTTAGTCTGGTCATGTCTGTTTCTAGTTCGAGTTTTAATTCGTTTGAGAATTTTCTGCAATTTCTCTTGATACGTTATTCCAGTATATAGAGGAATAGATGTCTGAGTTAGAGGTCCACAAGGTTGAATAATATCTTGTATAATTTTGGTTAATTTCCCAAGTAATGGAGCAGGAGTGACTTCTTCTTGATTAGTAATTGGAACTGTTAACGCTTCTTCTTGTATATCTTCCAGTTCCAAGTTCGGGTTTATTTCTTCTGTGTCATTTACTTCTGGTAAATTAATTTCTAATTGCTCTGTGTCTTCTAGAGTGTTCAGAAAATTATTTGAGTCTGGCTCAAGAAAGGAAGTAATTACATTAGTAAGGTCAATAGTCTGAGTGGTATCATTATTATCACATAACCATACACATTGTAATGTAATCCACAATGCATAATTTTGGGCGGCATTATCTTGTTTCCATGTCTGAAAAAGGTATTGGAGGGCTAACAAGGTTTGAGGTTGCAATGTAGGGGTAGTCATTTTTGGGAAAATTCCAAAAGGGGTAGTTGTATAAATACATTTTGAGGTTTTACGAATTAAATTGTGTGTTTCATCCCCTTGTAGATCAAATTTCTTCTAGAAATTTCTAGGGGAATCAATAACAACTACTGGTTCCAAAATTTTGACAAAGTGTATGCAAGGCATTAGCCCGTTGGTGAGCATTTTGGGCTTCTTCTCAGAAAAAGCATAATAAAGCAGCATTGGTAGTTTCCAAGGTTTCAATTCTTGCTTGTAATTGTTTTATCAATTGATCCTGTTGTTGTACTTGTTGTCGAAGCTGATAAAACTGTGAACCATCATCGATTTCCTTGACTGTTTCTTCAGCAGGTGGAGAGTAAATTTCTGGGTCTGGAAGTTTGCAATCATCACAATACCCTTGATTTGAATTCAATTCCTCTTGGTGTTTAACATGTAAACATTCCTGACAGAGGTCAACAGGAACTGTAAAGTTTCTTCGAAGTACAGCGAGGGCATACTTCTGGTCATAGTCTGGGTGGCTAGTGTTGAAGGATTCATCTAAAATTGCTTGTAGCGGGTCAATATCATTTTCTGATAGTAAGTCTGATTCAGCTTGCAATATAAGTTGCATTTCCTCATAGCTCCAGGGTTGAGTTATGCGGTCAGAGGTTAGAGGTTCTAGGGCCTGGGCAATGGTCTGGTCATTTTCATCCAAGAGAATCTTCGCAAGTCGGTAAATTCTGGTCTGGTTCATTTCATATTGGTGTCCGGCATTCTTTGTTGATTCAGTATAACGTTTGATTTGAGTCCAGAGGTTATAATTAGGATTATACTGGATATCCTGGCTAGCCTTGTATGCATAAAGGTGTTCTAATTCACAAAACCATAATTCTTCCCGAAGACTGTCCAATTGACACATTCTAGGTCTTGTATCTGCTTTATTACATACTTTGCAATTAACAAGCATTCCACGTTCTTCACCTTGGGTGAAGAAATGGATACTCCTAGGGTCTTCTCGGTCTAGAGCACAGTGAAAGTCAGAATAGCATCCAGGGCAAACAAGTTTCTCTTCAAGAAGTCTAAGGACTTCAGGTCTGTTAGGAACTCTACATTGGCAACAATGGTGGGTACGGCGAGTGCTATGGTTAGGTAGGTGATTACTATCAACTTGATCAAGAGTACATCCACACTGGTAAACCAAATTTTGTCTTTTCCAAGTGGCAAGAGGACAGTAGGCTTCAATATGTCCTAACGTACTGCATCCTCTGCAGACATTATTGGGGCAGTCCCTATATAGGTGGTTGGAGTCATGACAAGTAGGGCAGGTGGTACGTCTTGGGGCTTATTTAGGGCATTTAACAGCGATGTGGCCAAATTCCTGGCATCGATTACATTGGTTGGTGGGACAATTTGCAAAGAGGTGGTCAGGAGAACCACAATTTCCACAGACACGCTGTTTAGGAGCTTTTCTGTTTCTACGGCGAGAATGATAAGTGGTCCATTCATTTTCTTCTGGTGAGAGAGATTGGTCTGAGTCTTCTCGATTAAAAGTATAAGCTTCTCGAGGATATAAGTATTCTGGTTCATAAAGGTCTAATTCATCTGGTGCAGTCACAGTGGGTTGACTGGGTAGAGGTTGGTTACTTTCATAAGTAGTGGGGATAGTATGTTTTTTGTTTTTCCATTTAAAAGTATAACAACCATTTTCCCAATTATAATTTGCTTCCACTTTTTGATTCCAGTCATTGCCTAATAGAAGAGAGTAAGAAGTAGTGTCTACTACTTCTACAGTAAGAGGGATAGTAATGTGATCAATTTCAATTGGCAGGTCTTTTATAATCCCTAAAGGCCGAGTGGAAGTTCCAACTGCAGGAACAATAAGGCTGTTAGAGGCCTTTTCAATAGTCAATCCAAGTTCTTTGACTGCCTTGTGAGCAATCATGCTAACTGAAGCACCACTATCAATAATAGCTTGGTAAGGTTTATTCTGAAGAGAGACATTACATTTGACAGGTGTAGTATACGCAGGGGTTTGAACAAGGTTGGCATTTTTGGCTTCCTCATACAGGTGGGTAGCCAAGGCACCTCGGATAGATGGATTATTGAGTAGCGTTTTTCACTTGCTAGCAGTAAGAGAGGGTGTCTGAGTCTGATTTTGTGTAAGATAATTAACACTTTGATGATAAGGTGAAGGAGATCGATTAGAGGAGTTTTGGTAAGAGTGATAGTTATCATTATTTCGGCTTCTATAATTATTATCTCGAGATTGGCTTCTAGGACGAGAATTATTGCGACTGCGAGAACGGTCTCTGTTATTGGAATAGCGATCAGAAGAGCGACCATTTCGGTCCCTATTTTGGTTGTTATTTCTGTTCCAGTTATTGTTATTATTATTATGACGAGAATTGGATCCTTGTCGTTGGTCCTGTTTTCTACTATTGCAGTCACGAATAAAATGTCCAGTGCGTCCACAATAATAGCAGATAGGAGGCTCTTTCATTCGAGGGGTTTGGGCACGGTTGTCAGCATAATTAACAGAAGAGGTAGGTGTGGTCTGTGTCTGGGCTAAATTAATACTAAGCTTAGCAATTTGGTCTGTAAGTTGTTGAATAGCTTGGTCGGTATTGGTAGTAGGGGTAGTCATTAATTTTCCAGTTTCCCAGCGAAGGGCTACTTCAATAGCATCGGTCAGGGTATTAGGTATAGCAGCTTGAACATTAACTGCATACTCAGAACGTAAGCCTTGGATAAAAAGTTGTTTAACAAAATCAGCGGGAAAAACACCGGTTGGGTCCACTTTCGTTTGCAATGTACGAAATCGGTTGACATATTCATCCACTGTTTCAGTGGGTCCTTGCTTAATTTCGAAAAGTTGTTTTTGCCAAAGGGCCTTTTGCTTAGTAGTATAGAAACGTGTCTTAAAAAGATGCTGGAAACTTTGGTTCTGGTTGTTGTTATCATTAAAAACATTGGGTGCTGGGTTTAAAGCAGTATACCAGTCTAAAGCAACACCTTTAAGGTACACAGGAGCAAGCTGAAGTTTCCGTTCAGCACTCCATCGGTTGGCAGTAGCGGCTCTTCGAAATTCCTTCAGCCAGTCAGCAGGGTCTTGGGTTCCGTCACCGTAAAAATCTGCAACAGTAATAAGAGTTTTCTCAGAGCCTTGTCCAAGGGCATTGGCAAGACCAGTTATTGCTTGCGCAGCATCTCGTAAAGCTTGATCACCCATTAGGTTTTCTGTTTGATTAGGAGGTAAGATAGGGTTTAATTCTTCAACAAGAGGTTGTAAATTTATTTCTTCGAATTGTGGAGGAGAGTTAGCTCTAACAATAGTAGTGTCTTGGTTTTGAATATAATGGTCGAGAGGGTCAATTAAATTTTGGTCGTTAAGAGGAGGAGTATTAAGTGATGGAGGTGTATGGCGTGGGGTAACGTTTATATCTAAATTAACAGTTGGGTAATATTCAGTTACAAGAGGGGATGGAGGAACAGTTGTGCGAACAGGAGAAAAGGTTTGTTGTAAGTAGCGAAAGAGGCGATTTCGTGGAGGAGGAGTAGTTTCTCGAGTATAATGATATGGAATTTCTGAGATAGGTGAAGAAGGAAGTGCAAGGCTTGGAGGGATTGGTATATAAGTATTAGTGGAAGAACCAACACCAGTATCAGCTAATTGTTCAGGTCCTAAGGTGAATATAGATCTGGGTGGAAAAACGTCAAAATTTAATTCAGTTCTTTCTAGTTGGTTTTGAAAATTGAATAGAAGGTTTTCAGTCCTTGGTCGAGTTGAAGCAGGTGTAGAAGGTAAGAGGTCCTCAATGTGAAGGTCAAGTAGAGTAGCTTCAAAATTAAGAGGTAAGGTAGGTGCAAGAGTATAGGGGGTATGTGCAAGGAGTAGACCAGCAATAACTTCTTTTGGGTCTAATAGGTCGTTGTTATAGCGGCAACTAAAAACAATATCTCGAGCAGCAGCTCTAGCAGTATTATAATCAGTAGCAGCAACTAAAATACAGTAAGAGTCGTTTGTCTTTTGTGAGTATTGGGTAGCAAAATAATTGTCTCGATACGTTCCCCAGAATCGGCGAAAGGGACGGTATAAATTAGCAACAGGGTAACAGATAGTACAGGATAAATCAGGATGGTAGGCTTGCAAAACGTCTACCGCAAGTGAGGAAGGATGACTTGTTTCGTGTACTTCAATTTGTTCTAAGTATAGTTCATATGCTCTATTCATATAGAAAAGGCAGTTCCCAAGTCTTAAGGAAACTAATAAAAGAATAATAAAATACCTCCAAAATAAAAGGTTAGTAGTAAGTTGTTAACAAAATTTTAATCTCCTAAATGGTAAATAGTTAGTATCCAACAAAAAGAAAATTCCAAGTAAGTTGTAAGAGAATAATAAGAGTGCAATCAACAGCAAGAGGGTTAGTAACAGCCAAAAAAAAAATTAATTAAATTTCTGCCAAAAGTAATAATAAGATTTCCAAATTCTTTAATAATATCCAATAATTTAAATAGGTTTCCGCCAGAAGGCACCAAATGTTACAGTACCGGAAGCCTTCTTTAATTCCGATAGAGTAACAATCACACGGCTCCTGAGATCCCTTACTTTGGGCGTGAAGCGGTGTGCAAGAGGGAAGTATAGTTTCTTTTATGTCTGTAAGAAACTACACACTTCTCTGAGGCAGTTCGGTATAAAACAACAAGAGATAATACACAGTTTATTAATTTAACAAGAGGGCTATTCCAAGGTGTCTGTTCCTTAGAAATCCCAAGAGTTTATTAATAATAAGAGAGGAGGGTAATAAATATAAAAGTAAAGATAAAAATACAATGTCTGGATCTGTCTAAAACTAAGGGAAATAAGGTGGGTTTATATATCTATTGAGTTAAGCATCGCTAAGTGTTGTTAAGCGTCACTAAGTGTCATTAAGCGTCGCTAAGCGTCATTAAGCGTTACTAAGCGTCGTTAAGCGTCGCTAAGCGTCATTAAGCGTCGCTAAGCGTCGTTAAGCGTCGCTAAGCGTCATTGAGTGTCATTGCACATCAATTTTGCATATCACTATTACTAAATACAAAATTTCCTTATTAAGTTCTAATTTTCAAACTAATTTCTCCCAAGATTAAAAACCTATTCTATAACAATACAATCGAAACTTGTTTGCTATGTACTAAGGAGGGTCATGATGAGAAAGAGTGTGTTTTCAAAAAGGATCAAGAAGTACAGACGGTATACGTAAGTGAAGAAAAGATGGATTTTAATATACGTCGATTGACAATAGAACAGGAGAAACAAGTAAACAATATATTAGTTAAATATGAAAATATTTTTGCAGACAAATCTGGGCAGTTAGGGAAAACTTCGATAATCCAACACGAGATCATTACAGAGGATGTCCCTCCCATCAAACAAAAGTTTTATCCTACATCCAGACCTGAACAGGATTTTATAAAAACTGAAATCCAATGCATGGAAAAAGATGGTATTATCCCTTAAACGGTAAGCTATTCCAGGCAAATTTGCCTGCAATTTTTTCTTTTACTTCATTATATATAAAATTTTGGAAAATTTAAGTTTCGTGCAATAAAATTTTTTACACGAGTAATTGATCGACATTGCAGATAGTTTTAACTTTAATTTTCATACTATCATAAAAATTATCTAATATGTATAGATTTTTGAAAATCATCTATTTTTAATAAAATTCCCGATTTCTCAAAAATTTTTATTTATTTTTAATTTTCTTATTACGTTTTGACCATAACGATAAGAAATAATAGTAAGAAATATAAAATTTAGTATGAAAACAATTCCTATGACTTCATTTTTACAACTCAAGCAGTACAATTTTGATTCGCATAGGAATAAACAAGATACATATATATCCTTTTTTTTTTACCATTTTTTTTTTTTTTTTTTTTAAGTACGTATTTAATAAAATATAAAAATCCTTAATTTTCTTCTCGAATATGGTAGTTTTTAAAACAGTCACTTCTACCCTTACTACAACATAAGGCCATGTTGCATTTTACACAATAAATCTGCGACTGTGGTGGATTCTTGTCGGTACTATTTTTTTTTTTTAGTATTTTTTTTCATCGGTTTGT